CCCTCTGTTTCCTCTCTCATTGGTCCGCGGCGCAGGGGAGCGCCCGGCTCGCCGCTCACCATTGGCTGACTCCGCGAGGCCCCGCCCCCCCGCGGGGCAGTGGGCGGGGCGCGGGGAACATGGCGGTGGTGGCACCGCTGCTGGCGCTGCTGTGGGCGCTGCCGGGGCTGTGCCGCTGGCTCGCACGGCCCTACTACCCGCTGTCCGCGCTGCTCGCCGCCGCCTTCCTCATCGTGCGCAAGGTCCCGCCGCTCTGCCGCGGGCTGCCCTCGCAGCGGGAGGATGGCAACCCCTGCGACTTTGACTGGGTGAGGCGGCGCGGCCTGTCCCGCACCCCCGGCCTGTCCCGCACCCCTTGGCTCCCCTCCTGCTCCCTCAGCCCCCCGGCCCGACTGAGGGAGGGGGTGCCCCGTAGCCCCTGTTGTTGCTCTGCCGGTGCCCTCCCATGACCCAGGGGTCCGCCGGACACTGGCCTAGCCCGTCGCCGCGGGGCAGCCCCTTCTCGCTGCTTCCTCCCCGAGAGGGACGGGAGCCGCGGGCTCTGGCAGGGCCTGGCACGGGCGCAGGCTCACGCTGTCCCCTCTCTGTGCCAGCGGGAGGTGGAGATCCTCATGTTCCTCAGTGCCATCGTCATGATGAAGAACCGGCGCTCCAGTGAGTCGGGGGGGGGGCACAGGGGGCTGCTTATGGGGCGTCCTCTAGGGAGCAGAGTGGGATGGAATCTGGAGCACCAGATCCAGCCCTCCCTCAGGATCCCCCCCAGCCTTCTCGGGGGGGGGATCTTGGCCCCGTCCCTTCATCCCTCCATGCCGTTTGCAGTCACTGTGGAGCAGCACATCGGGAACATCTTCATGTTCAGCAAAGTGGCCAATGCCATCCTGTTCTTCCGCCTCGACATCCGCATGGGGCTGCTCTACCTCACGCTCTGCATAGGTGAGCCCTGCTGGGCCCCTGGGGCAGCCCTGGAGCCCCCAGCCCAGCCTGTGCCCTGCCTGTGCCCCTGGGAGAGCCCCCTTTTGCCCCTGGGTGACCCTCACAGCTGCATGGGGCTGTGGGTGTGCAGAGTATCCCTGGGGGGACGTCT